TGACTGAACGGGAAGGAGGGAGGGAGATAGTGAAATAGAAACGCCAAAAAATACCAAATATTATCTGAATGAAGATAGAAAAATCCTTTTGATAAACAAATATATAAATAAATAAACAAGCAAACAAACAAACAAACAAACACATACATACACACATACATAAAACAACGAATAAACAAAAACCGAACAAAGTTAAAAATAATAATAACAATAATACATTTTTGTACTTTAGCATATTGGCAATCATTTACTCGTAAGTAAAATACTTGGAATTCACGTAAATTAACAAATATTTCTCCTTTTTTTTTTGCACACTTAATTGTTACAGATAAAAATAAACTATTCCGTATTACACATGCATGATGATATGATATCTACGCATACACACTCAGTAAAATGGAAAAAAAGGCATATACAACGAAGCTAACAAGAATGATGATTATTACGATTACGATGCGTATATATGCTTATCATATGATGAAGGCGTATATTCATTACAAAAACAAAGTGAAACAGATACTACTACTACTATAGGGCAAGATTAGGTAGGATGTATGTGTGCATATTAGCAGACTCTACATACCTCCGCCGTACATATAAAACAAACGATAGATAGATATAATATAAACGGAAATCAACTGATGATATATGTATGTATGTAGGTATGTATATATATACACAAATGAATAATCTCATTGCCAAATAAAGGGGAAATAATCAATGTCAATTTATGGGGAGACAGTAAGTCTAGTACAAAGTGTTGAGTAGGCGGGAGATAGAAATCGACTAATTAAGCATTTTGACATAATACAGACAATCGACATTAATAGTATGCAGATATATAATGCCCAATTCAAATCTATGAAGTGAAGTAATCCCCAGAGTATTAACCACTTTCTTATACGATTAATATTCAAAATTTAAAACAATTAGTTCCCTTTATGAATTTAGATAAAGCAATAAGAAGGCGTAATTTGTCTGAATCGTGTAATGTATTTGCGCAACACATTTCGAACAATCTGATCACACACGGACTTGTCATAGGAATATATATATATAAAATTAATAAAGAGGTAAGAGGTGAGAAAAATAGACTTAGGTCAAGTTAAAAGGACATATTCAAGGTCAAAAAATAAAATGAAGACCACTAAACCAAATAGCAGAGGTAATAGTACATCTGCTGTGGTATCAAAACAAAATTTACCAAGGAAGGTTTAATGTGATGACAAATTGTTTTTGAACGCATAAAGGTGGCTTGAACTTTCTAATATTCAAAAGCCGGATTTCTTTCTTTCATACGTTGCATACCGAAAGGATGGAATATGAGGCTTTAAACTTCAAGTTGTGAAGTTTTTGAAGTTATAGTGGAGTGGTTTTCACAGGATATAGTTGCTAACCCGCCATCCACTTCCTCTCCATCTCAACCCACAGTCTCATTCTTCCTGGGCCTATTGTAGGTACAGACTAAGTGTATGCCTGCCAACTGTAAATTCATGACTGATACAATCAATCATATACTCATTATTTATCTCTGTAGTTCAAATTTCCATTCATGTGTAAAAGAGGGAAATTTACTCTTTATTGTGAATAAAAGTTGTAGCAGTTAATTTTGACTTTTGTGTCTCTACTCAGTGTGGGGAATTTTCCCAAGTGATCAGTGTTGGCTACACAGCGTCGTGTGACTGGAGGCTGATTCTAGTTAAATTAGACAACAACTAAAAGAAAAAAACACTAACACTCCGTTACAATATTCTTAAAGTAGGCGGGACTTAGGAGTATGTCAGTCTGGAATCGAACCCGAACCTCCCATGTGATCGGCAAGTAAGCGTCCAACTCTTCAGACAGACTAGGTAGTTATACAGATTACGAACCATGAAGGAATAATTAATGACAGAGACAACTTGATTGTTTGAAGGGAAGGAAAAAGTTGGCTGCACACCCAAACTGAATGAGTGTTATTTCTTTTAATGATGAAAGCTGAATCGGCTTGTTTTGCTTCATTTACGGCAAGATAAAAACAACGCTTCTTCATCTGAACACAAGTGAACTTAAAATAACCTTTAAAATAGACAACAATTTCATTGCCCTTAAAATATACAGAATAATTTTTTTTTTGATTTCTTAAACACTGAAACAATCAAACATTGAGATCAGTAAAAGGAAACATGTCTAACTGAGTTAGAATCTAAACCAATTTAAATTATGAAACTCAATTACTAAATCAAACTGTCTATTAGCATAACCCAATGTCATCCACTATTCTCATCAAATTTAGCCTACTTACACATCCCAAAGACAGTTTGAGACTCTTTTAGAGTAGGTTCCTATGACCCCAACATGAGCAGTAGAGAGAATCTAGGACCTTTAGGTTACTAGATGAGCTTGTTAAACACAAACCCAGTGGGACAGAATCCAATGCCGCATGAATTCTGGTTTCTGTCTGTTGTTTTAATAAATTACTGCTGATAGTGTTTTAGATATTCCGATTGGCATTCACTCATAGCTACAGTCAATACACCTTCAAAAGTTGGAGGGAAAACTATGACGCATACATCTGTCAGAGAATTTCAAATTTCACATTTACAAAACCTGAATTAGAGCTTGAATAATCACCACAACTATGCAACATGTCACAGTTTTTTCTGCTTCATCAAATAACTATTTCCACCCCAATAATTTTTATATTACGTAATTATCTCTATAAACCGGAAAAATTTAGAGATGGAGAAATATTTTTAAGCACTCAGGAGAAAAGATACCTTCAAAAAAAAATCACCACTTCGTACATTCAACAAATAAAACACTGTAATTAAATTATAAGGTTAAAATTAAAAATTTGAACAAAGCAATCATAAAAACGTGCATTGGTGGTTTAGAGGTAGAAGTCTCACCAACAAAGGTGGTCAGGTGGTGCAGGTTTTGATTCCCGGTTGACGCACTTCCACTAAAACTCGCCTAGCCAGTTGCAAGACTAGTAAAAGGGGAAGATTGGGTATTAGGTTAGCAAACCCACCCCGTAAAAACAACACCACTGCTACTTACTGTGGCTTGTGCTACTGATAAGATTTATCAGTAGCATATAAACGAACGTTCATTGGTTAAAAAAATATCAAATATCAGGGAACATAGATTCACTGGTTCATTCATCCATCAGCTCCCCACCTTCCTTCCGTTCTTCCTTCCTATCCATCATTCTCAATTCTCTTGTCACAAACCAACGCCAGCCCACATGAGCCCACCAGACACTGACGTCTCTCTCTCTCTCCCGCTTCATACATTCATACTCAAATCACTTTTCCATCATCTTCTCCATAATATTCATCAACCAACTAGTTACTCCCACCATTTCCTCACCATACACTTCTCTGCATATACTACTACTGATAAATCTTATCAGTAGTACACGCCACACTACTGAAACTTCAAAGGTCAAGCCTGAAGCCGCCCTATGTTTTACTCAGAAGGCAAACGAGTGGAAAGAAATCATAACAACATCTGGAAAAGAATAAAACGGATCTGTTTTATGTCGGCCAATATCTCTCATCAGCTGCATAAAACCTGAATGATGAAAGTTAACAGTTTAAAGACAACTTTAACATACTTTCGTTCATCAAAGAGAAACAAACAACAAACAATAATTACAAATGATCACACTATTTAAGTGAACTGAAATGCTTAATTGGTAAAATATAAAAATATTTCTGTAACTATATCTATCTGTAATGCGATCAAAGCTTCACGAATATAACAAAAATGTTATGGGTAGCAAAGGTTGCGGCAAGATATTGAGGCACATGAATTTTAAGATGGCGTAAAACATTAGAAAATTGTTAGTGGACAAAATATATGCGGAAAAAATGTACTTCAAGTCTGATCACATACCACTGGAAACCAGAAAGCTGTTTCATCCTAGTTTTTGACTCTTCATCAGTACATACCCATGGTGCCACCAGGAATCGAACCCACGGGCTTCAGGTTACAAGGTGAGCTGGGTGACCAGTCAATCCCTGGAACGGAATTCAATGGCCAATCAACTTCTTAACCTCACTAGTGATTGACTACAGGAAGAAGTTGCCTGAAGTCTTGACTAACAGGTTCTACTAAGTTAAATATGAGTACAGATAGTCGCAGACGACATTGATTCGCGGTCACACTATATATCCTTAACTGGCAGAAGTTAGACGTGATGGGCCATTGGATTCCTTCCCAGTGGTTGGATGGTCGATGACCTCACTTTGCCACTTGACGTCCGTGGTGACGGGTGTGTACTGGTGAAGTGTCCCAAAGAGGGAGAATAAAACAGTCCCTTGTTTACAGTGGTTCTTTCACTGAAGTTAGTTAGTGATTAACCTTGAAACTAATCGAATCCCTCTAAAGTAACGCTTGAAAAATTCTATTATGAGTGTAGTTCATTTAATTAGATGTCAGCCGTATGAAGCATAACGTTTAATACATGATGAAATATATATACTATGACAACTCCTAACTATTGTTCGACATTTTTACTCCAAATGAACTAAAGACCATTAAAATTGTAAGAAAAACTATCGACTTTGATTATTTAGTTTGTATGTAGTCGGTAAGATACTGAGCATATCAATTAAATCGGTTTTGTCCTACTGCATGAGTTGCTATGACTACTTTGTTTTAATTCGTAAAGAGAAATTCGTGTATAAAATTTAAAGAAACTTTTTAAATTGTTCTAGGCTATTTATGTTAAATGACCTAATTTTAGAAAAATATATTCCAAATGTGAAAAATCGATTTTTCATTTATAAATGCGAATTTCTAGTATAATGACCTCACTATAATATAAAACACTTCTCTCGCGCGCGTTTGCTCGCTCGCTCCCTTGCATACTTCCACTCATAATAAACAATAAAAGAACATTTTTTTAAGAAGAGTGAAAAAAAGAACAATCAATAATTAATAATTTGTGGTTTTTCAACTAGTGAAAAAGATAGAGTGGGCGACAAAAATAAAGCCAAATTTAAACTTACTTTTGGTATAGGTAAACTTAAATCCCAAAATGGATCAAATGTAGTCGATTTAAATGCACAGTCTGCGCATTCAAGTGTACTCATTAATTGTCCAACAAATAGATCTAATTGAAAAAAGAAAAAGAGACAGAAAGAGGGAGAATTGAATGAAAGGGGGAGAGGTAACAGTAAAATGAACAGCTATCATATTCAACTCTCAAAATTGGATTATATTTATTTACAATGCTAAACTTAGAGTTAGGTCCAGATACACTAAAGTTAAATAATAGCAGCCACTCAGTAATACATGACTTTCGACAATTAATTAGAGTTACAAATAAGACGAACGACTTGGTAAAGGAATGTTTATTTGCACCTTGGTATTGTGGTGAGAGCTGGCTGCCAGCCAAATTGGTAGACAGTAATTTACGTCAATGTTTACGTCCTCAATATTGGTCGTGAGAAAATGAGAACAAAGACTGATTCAACAACCAACTACAGCAGACTTTGCGTAGGCGGATATAGTTAGCATATAGATGATCTGACATTCAAGAAACAGCCACAAAGAAATGAAAGATTAACTTTCTGTGAGAAACAACCAATCAAATTACTCTGTTTTCCTGCTAACAACAATTTATAGTAATGTAAATGAAAATCTATGAATATGTGTTGATTTCCTAAATAAACGATCTGTTGCCTGGCCCTTGTCTTTTGTTGTTACAGTATTTCTTTCTATATGGCAAAATTATGTATATTTTATCTTCGACGCACAATTTGCACAGACAATCAGTGTTGTGCTGCTTCTGGCCTTCCCTCATATTGCGTTTCTTTGTGTTCCTTTCACGTCTTCCATGTGTCTGCCCAACGCTATGTCACTTGCCTTCTTTGAAATCAAATGTATCTTCCTGCTATCTGATTTTTTTATGCCGATGAACGTCTCTTTATATACTACTGATAAATCTTATCAGTAGCACATGCCACAGTGTCACTTGTTTTCTGCATTTGTTTAACAAGTTCCAGGAACAGAAGGTGTTTGGTTAGTGTGTGAAAGATGGCATAAGTAGGGATACTAAGGCATGCATATGGAGGGGAAGCTTGACAGGATAATCAAATGGAATTTCGTGGTAGATTAAAGAAGAAAAGAGAATCAGAAATACAAACGGATCTGAAAACACCATAATTTATAATCATCTTTTTTTTTAACAATTTTGTAACTCCGATTGTTCCTTAATTCTAATGAGTTGTTCATAGTCGATGATAAGGTCGATTAGGGTGGCTGTTATAGTTTGCCTTTAACTCTAGATACTTTATGGATATTGTTATGTACTCGTCGCTAAATTATTGTTATGGACTGGTCGAGAAACTAATAGTCCTGACGCGAGAAGGCGGAAATCAGAAGACCACTAGGTTTGCGATGATACTTCTATTGTCCAAACACAAGGAGACGAAAATAAATGGTCTCACACCAAAGTGGTAAGTAAGTAAAGTAGTTGCAAAGTAAAAGTCGTTCACACAAATTGTGAATGCGAATATATATAAATAATTCAGACAAAGCGTGGGAAAAATCATTAGACAGTCTTAACATGAATGGCTAATTATAATGGAGTGTCGATCCAATTATACATAGCGAATATAGCAGACATGCCAACAAACATATATGGATATATGTCACCAAGCAACGGACTGTCAACAAACACTCATATTATATATAATATAATATAAGGAGAATACACATTATTAAAGGAGACAAGTCCATACAAGTGAAGTGGTCACAGACTAACCGAGCTAACAGAAAGAGAGACCAACATACACACACACATAAATATATATATATATGTGGATACATATCAGATATATACAAAGTTTTGAAGATGAAGATAATCAAAAGACTGAGGTATATTTACGCAATACATTTTGAACAATCTGACAGCACATTTACTTATCAAATCAATTTATATGAAAAATGAAAAGAACATAAAAGGTCAATTAAAATAAACAAAATGATTAGGGATTTAAGAACAAGATTATGAATAATTATTTACTACTGTTGGTAAAATTGTGGTGAGAGCTGGCTGCAAGCCAAAATTGTAGACAACAATTCACGCTAATGTTCACGTCGCAAATCAGGGTCATGAGTAAAATAATAACAAAGCTTAACCTTGAGAAAATCACCAGCCCATCACAGTGAAATTAACGTGTGGTAATATGATTCGCAGATATATGGCTTGATTTTCTGAAAAACGGCCACAAAAACATAACAGTATAGCGTTCAGCAAGAAAACAACCAATCAGAAAAGGTTGCTTTTCCGCTAAAAATAACGTTTGTAAAAATCTATAAATACCCCTTGATTTTCTCAATAAATGATCTGTAGCCTGGCTTTTGTCTTTTGTCGTTACAATATAATCAGATGAGTATTATTAACAAGGTAGACTAAGTGTAACAATAAATTGCTTTTGTACACACATGGTGAGGGAGGTTTAATTTTACGGACTGCTATAGCCTTAGCGTATTTATAGACAATCCTGAAAGCTGTTTTGATAACAGGCTTGTGATTTATATTAATTAAGTGTTTTTCTATACACAGAATTGGTAATCTGCTACCTGTGTTTATCAAGAATTCACGGTTTAATTGTTGGCGAAGTCAAAGAATATCTACACCCAAACAGTGAGAACGCAGGACTGACCTTGAGACGACCAATCAGAATAACCAGTGTATTTTACATAAAAATTGCCGTTTAATGTACTGGAAAAGTACCAAAAATAACTATGAACAACCTAAAACTATTTACTAGAAAATTACAGATAATAAAAGAAAAAATACTAATCCTGATCCCAACCCTAATGCTGATCATAACCTTAATTCCGAACCATGACTGTAATCTTAACCTCAATCTTATTGGTAGCCTTAACCTAAACGAACTACCAGCCCATTACGCAAACAGTAGTTAAAAAGGAGATTGAGATAAAATTTGCACCTCACTTCGTGCAAAGAGATCATAGTAATGCTATAATAATGGTGAGTTTCGTCATTCAACAAATAGTATATGCTCAAGGTCATTGCTGCATTCGCACCTATGGGTCGTTAATCTTTAACTTCGCGCAATTGTTTTTCAAAGCATTTGGGTATACGTTCTCCCACCGTGATCTTTAAGGCACGATTACTCCGCCCTATGTATGAGTAACCATATGGTGAGAGCAGGCTGCTAGCCAATTGGTAGACATTAATCTACGTCAATGTCTAGGTCACTAATATTGGCCGTGAGAAAATATGAACAAGGCTGTTTCAACAACCAATCACAACAGACTTAAACGTGGGAAAATATGATTCGCAGATAGGTGGCTCCACTTTCCGAGAAATCTCGAAAACAACCAATCAGAAGACTGCCTTTTTCTACTTGCATAAGCTTTAATAATGTACAGGAAATATATATAAATACGTGTTGATTTCCGTAATAAAACGATCTGTTGCCTGACCCTTGTCTTCTGTTGTTACAACCACACACACACACACACAAGAACACTGGTAAACAATATGAAATGTGAGATAATCCCATGTGCCAAGTTGAGGCTTGTAGCAGACCAGACTCACATTTTTCGACAATCATAGCCTAAGTTGCATATTAAGTTTTACAAATGACAGAATTTAGTCTTTGTCTAAAACCCTACTGTTTGTTTCTTCAATGTAAGATAATTTGATGCAGACATCTTTCTTTGGGACAGAGTAGACTGTATTATTGATACAAGTACAAAACACGGGCACTGTGGTAGAGTATAACTCCATTATATATCAATCTGATATGATTATGAGCAATAGTTTGTGCTCGAAAAGTCATCAGTTAATATTACTGTATAACACTGTGTGATTCATCAAAATTTAAATCTTATCTATAAGAGTAGACTGTAAGTTTCGAACCTATCTGATGTCTACATCGGTTCAAAAACTTCAATGGATATCCATTTGCGACAAGTGTATCTGTCAATTTTTTTTAATTCCCATTGTCCATCGCCAACATTAGTACAGATACACTGAATCCTCTTAAACAGTCATTTAACTAAGCCTTTTATGTATTGCAATGAAAATATAAAAAGTATTGATCAGTAGATATTTTGATGAGGAAGTAACAGGACAGCTAGTCCGTCAAACTGAAAACATAACAGTCAATCAGTTGTACATTGTAAATGATTGAATCGTATTCTAACAGAGGAAATGGACTAGAAGTACACTGGACGGGTGTGAAATGAAGAAGAACTGGATTGTTTGATAAGTTATGTTTGAATGTAGATCACCGACCATAGATCATTCAATGAGCAGTTTTGATAAGCCCGTGGAAATAAATTACTAATCGGAGCATGACGAACATCTGATTTGCTGAACACCTCATCACCTAGGGAAATCGGAACTCTTCTTAATTCTGTGTCAAAGATTTTCGATTGTATCGAATCTACAAATAACTATTTATTATTTGTGAAGCACAAATTGAAATATGTTCCGACTGAGTTCATACAACCTAATGGCACCTTAGCAAACGTAAACACTTTTTCCAATAAAAATCTCTATGCGTTTCTCACAGTACTTCTGAATGGGAAACAGTGAGTCGGGTATCTGAAGGTGGCGTGGAAGAACTTACGGGAAATCGTGAAGCCAGTCAAAGAGGGCTACATAGAACAGAATAAAATGTAGACGTGCTACTGAAAACCTATATTTCAGTCGGAACTCAAGGGACCAATAACAATACATAACAGAATCTAACAAATCCCCATAAATTTCACACTAAAGGTGAATGAATATTTTTGAATATGCTTTCTTCAGTGACAATATTCCTCTATAAAAAAAGAAAATTGTGCATTTGGCTTCCTAGCACCCTGAATTGTGGTCAACTTCTTTTAATGACTCACTGTAATCTGATTCATTTTACCTATTTGTGAAGACAGATCAAGATGTTACATAATCAAAGAGGCATTATTATTCAGAAGACACTAGTTTTTCTACTTTGAAATATCCACCACCGGCAATAAACGATTATTCAACATATTTCCCCCTACAATCCATGAAACGTGGTTCACAGTTGGTCAGATATATGCGCCAGACACTCCAGTGCAATCCGAATAAGAAGTGAAGAATTGGGCGCGAGATCGTTTGGGGAGGGAATGAGAATCTATGATCACAATCGTGGAGCGATCTAAAACAGACTTCAGAGAACAGAATGAAATTCCCTATGTCCCACTGGGAACCCAAAGGAATCATAATAAACTCTGGAATATTGGTTTCCTTGTTATGAATCAATTAATTCACTAAAGCCCTAAACATTCTTTAGATCTATTTCAATCACACAAGTTATACTTACACCAAAACACTTTCTACTGTTTCATCAAATGAATGTGTAAGATGAAAACTGCGCAGTCAGATAAAGCATAGCAGATACTTAACATTGATACTATACTTACCCACAATTTCACTGTTATCCATGGATAAATATCGTCTCCAATACAAGCTGGCTTTTTCGCTATCCCTACAAATTAAAAAATAATTCAAAAAAATTAGACAAATATAAGATTTTGGTAAAGATAAAGTAATATTTATGATAGATGAGTTTATATTGTTTACAGTTTACCTTCGACAAAAGCCTTTTGGTAACTGTATCACCTTTACCTGTTAAAAGATAGATCATCAGTCCCAGTAGTTAACACTTCAAATCAAGAAGATAAGTTATACAACCTTTCCAATTGTTCGTCTTCGTCACACCAAAACGAACGCGATTTATATATTTTCTACTGTAAATCTTGGTCTCCCTAACCTTATAAAAATTCGAGAGACTAATATCATCTCAAGACAATAGGAGAAAATGTTAAGTTGAAAATAAGAAGTGTTTTCAAAGCTTTCATTCTTCTCAGTAGAGCGTTTACTCTTTGTAATCTGCCAAATTCATTAGATCCTCACCATTTTCTATTTAATTATTCCTTGGAGTGGCAGTTTGAACTGATGCACTATTGTGAACAGTTTTACGCGGAGAATTTAGTCTGTCAAAGCCTTGAATGACACTTAAAATCATCTCTAATTATGTTTTAAACCTTTTTACAGTAGAAATTGTGTTGCTAAGGTAACAACCTAAAGATTTATATGCCACTATTTTAACAAAAGTTACAAAAAATGCCACTATGAAAACAGAACTTCGTTTGAAGTGGTAACTGAACAATGAGAGTTAAACTCTCTAGCGGATGTTTGACAGTCATACAAGGTAGAATAAGCAGTCAATGATCAACACATTATCCTATTAATATCATTAGACAAAATTAAGGTGAATTCAAACAGAAAAATAGTGTTCACGTTATTGATCCAACTTTGAAGTGTAAAGATTAAAAGGTGAAATCAGATCAACGACTCCTAGGTAGTGATGATTTAATAACATTGTGAACAATATTTTGTCCAGTGGAAGAACAGAGATACTGTAATGGCATTAAACAGGACTATATCTAGTTTCAGTTAATCATCCTCCTCACCTTCCCCACTGCGGCTTATGCTACTGACATAGATTTGTAAGTAGTATATTTGGATGACGTCATCTGCAAATTCTTGCATAGAATAGTGACGGATTGAATTGTGAAAGGAAGAAATGTAGGCCAAATAAATAGAATACGAATACTTTTTTGGAGATTGAAGTTTCAGTGTCAGGTTTTTAGATTTCAGTATCACTTTATATCAATTTTGCAAACTGAACAATTCCTAAATCATCACACACACATGCGACGGGAACGGGAATTGTATTCAACACGTCAAACAGTTTAATTTATAATTCATAAATGTATCAGACATCCGTTGATTCCTTCGCGTTCCGAGTGGGACATAAAGCTCCAAACTTGGATTTTAAAATTCCAGTAACAGAGGTGTTGCTAGCTTCATGCTCGTCCTTCCCTCTGTACCGGGCTTACTACCAGCTACACGAGGTCAAGGACTGCGCCGGCAGGGAATCGAGCACTTGTACACGTGGGTATTTGACGAGTATTCTACCACCAGACCATCGATAGATAAATGTATAACACTTAACATATACAATCATACATATTTTACTTGTCTTTCTAACTATTTTACAACTCAGAAGCATTGACACACAAGGACATTGAATAAAATACCTCCATCTTTCCCAAAGTGTATATTTTGATATCGTAAATTTCCAGTTTACTATTAATTTGAAAGTTTGGAGTGAATCCCAAAGAAAATCATTCTGCTAAGCGTCAATTAGTTCAGAATTTTTATAATCACTACTTAAAAACCTAACAGAATGGTTTCGTAATAGCTAAACACCTATCAAGCACCTATAGTGATATCTAGAAACAGTTATGTATGCCCTATGTATCGCACTTGTTGCTTCATTTATCAACGAGTAAGAAATATCTTCAACCTTAGTGAAACTCATTTATTCTTAGAGGATTCACTGAAAGATAGACTGAAAATTAGGCCTTGAAGGATCATTTACACAAATCAGACACCATTCATTCGGTAACCAGTCCACAATATCGTGGTTTCACTTATTTAATTGAATTTTATATTTTCCCGCCGATTGATGATTGAATCGAAGTGCTCGGTCTCAGGTTGACATGTCGGCTTCTTGTGCAGATGTTTCGACGATGTCTGTGCATGTAATTAGAGGTTAATTGGTGGATGCTGGTGACTAGTAGTGGAATTCAGAATGCAGGCACATCCAGCTGAAGAGTTCCAAACAGGACGAAATGCACATTTTAGATTCCACTGCCAGTCACCATCCACCAGTTAAGTGGTTTCACTTAATTTAATCGTAACAGTACTCACTCAAGTGTATCATCACGTAGAAATAGGCAGTTACACTGTCTACACTTTGGTGATCACAAATCGTATATTGCTGAAAAGACATATATATATATATTTCTACAAAAATCAAACCTGACAAATGAATAACACAGGTAGATAGTAGAGTTTCAAAGTCATAATCAAACAAAGAGAAGGAGAACAGTTTGATTGGTTTTACGGGGAATCGCTGAACCTAAACGTGCTTTCTCTTCGTTCGAAATTAAAACAGGTAGCCGAAAAGAGAAAAAACTCTAAACTCTAAATTTAGTAACAATACAAAGGGAAATCCTCCTCCCTACCCCAAAAAAATGTTGTGAAAATTTCTATTTTCAAACAAAATCACCTTTTTCTTCTTTTTTGTTTTCAGATCAAAAGAGAATATTGATTATAAATAGATAACATAAACACAGTAGACGGAGAGTTCAAGGAAAATAAATAAATAAGTAAACTGCATAGTCACTGAAAATAAAAACTTTGATAGTAAACAGATATAAAAGAAACAAAATGTGAGTGAAATAAAAATCAAGGAAAGCTAAGTTTTTAAAAAGTCAAATCAATTGTGTTCTAAGGAAGTATATATATGAATAAATATATACGCACGCAAGTTCACGTAGGTTTATTCATGCATCTACAAACGGATTATACAGATAGGAAAGGGTTAAAACAAAAGTAGACATTTGAAGCTATTGACTTCAGAGTCAAAAGATTTGAGTAACGTTAAAGCATAACTTCCCCCCCCCCGCAGTTATAATGAGAGCCACTTGGACACAAGTAAAAACGACGCATTCCCTTATGCAATAGGCCGTTTATAATAGCATGAAATCATGAAAATGTGACTTTATATCTTTAAGTTGAAAACCTGAAGCCTAGACATGACTATGAAGCAACATTTATTATCACAGACTACCGGGAATTAGAAGATTGTCTAAATAAAAAACCTTAATGTTTTCCCAATTCATAATTTATCGTCAAATATCTAACCAATATATATTACTTATGTCACTACGTGAACATGGCAATGCTACAAAAGGTGTCGTTGATAAGGTATGCTATAATCCGATTGGAAAATTTGATTTTTTCAATTTTAGATTAGTGGTTTTACGTGGAAATAATAATTTTATTGGACAGTCTTTGACCTTATGCTAAATTTCCGACCTTGAACAACCAATCGAATTAATATATATAACCACTGACCTAGCATTGATTTATTTATCTATTCATTAAAGTTCAAATTTGATGCATTATACGCATCCTGTGATGATCAATACGAGTCTGATAGGCGTGTTCGAAATGTGTTGTGGAAAAACAGGTAAATTTCGTCACCTTAACATTTTATTCCGTGTATATGTAAACGTACTATAGAAGCAGTATAGCATAAACTGCAAGACCCTATATTCTCGGCCTCGCGGAATAATGTAACTGAGTTCGCAGACAGCATTTTTACTTCTCTCTCTAGAGTTAAACAACCGTATTGTGTAGAGTGGGCTTTGGTTGAATGCTCAGTAGTACTTCTAGTGACAGCCTCCATCATATTTCAATCTCTTAAGGAACGGCTCAAAACACTTGGCATTGCCTAAACATTATTTAACTATACAATTATGAATGTAATAGTAGACTAGATACACACATTTGAGCCTTAAAAATAAACCAATAAAAATACAGGCAGGCTCACGTGATCATCATCTCACCTTGAAGTCACGAGGCCTTACCTTGAAAAAGTACTTTTAACCTTAAGATATATGTTACACTTGAAATCTATTGGATAAAATCTACATCACGGGATAGGAGAGTTGGACAGACATGCATATCCAGATAATCGATAGGCAAAATGAGCGAAAATAAGGATAGTTTAGGATGTAGAATTCATATCTTATCTGTTTGTTTTGTTGATTTTTTTTTAAAAATATTAGGTAGATGATGACAACAACAAGCGCAGTTGAAGAATAAACGTGATGAAAGGAAAGGAAACAAAAAACAACACCTGGTAATACAACGATTCGGTGAAAAACAAGAATTAAACAAGATTAACAGTGACTACTGTCTATTTGCAAGAATTTTACAATATAAAAATAATGAATAGAAATTTGTAAGCACTGCATAGCTCTTCTTTGATTGAAATCTGAAAGGAAGAAGTAAAGTCACTACAACTGGTTACTCACTTTATCGAGTGAAGCTTTAACTAGGGAATATCATCCAGTTTCATTAGTCTACTAGTTCTTGGTGTTCGTGTAGACTGCATTCTATCGGTCAAGTTGGTTAGGAGACTCACTATCGCCGTGAACTTTGAAGTGATGTTAGATGGTCAATGACGATCGACAGGAAGCCCTGGGATCTAGGTCGCGTGCTTGTTGGTGCTCGTTAGCATGGCGCATTTGCGGCTGTGAAGGTTGTATGTGTAGTTTCCGAATGTAGTGCTTGTTGTAAACTCATGAAAATACACAATACAGACTACGAGCAGCTAGTGGATTAAATTTTAATTTCACGAAAGCTACAATGAGTGATCATTGTAGCTTTTGTGAAATTTAATCCACTTACCGACCATGCATGTGGTCCGGGATTCGATCCCCGGCCACCGACGCACTCCTTTACCTAGCTAAGCCGGAAATAGTCCTAGTAAAGAGGAAAGGTTGGGTATAAGGCTAGGAACCCCACCCTGTAAAATAAAATAAACACCGCTACAGAAACTTC